ATATTTTATATATAATATAAAAGACACCAGATGTGTGCTGGTAATAAAGGGTTTACGCTGCAAACCAGTCTGCATGACTTACTCAGGTGCGCGGCATCTAGTTACGAGCATTTCTTCTTTCCTCACCAGATGTGTAGACTTGGTCAGCACAAACCAATCTGCAAAGTGTTACGTGATGGGATTATGCGGGTGGGAAAGACTGTGGCACAGAAGCTAACGGATGAGCTCGTGAGCGAATGGTTTAACCAGCCGTGGGGCACTGAGGAGTGCGACAATCATTCCAGACTCAAACTTTACGCGCAAGTTTGCCGGCATCACCTAGGTAAGTCTGCCATGGCACTAGCAAGGCTGTCTCATTTTCTGTACGTATTCTAGAGGTTATTTGTAGTAGGTGGAAGCAGGGGGCTTTTTCTTAAGGTACAGATTATGATCTGTTTAAAAATAAAAAAGGTATTAGGAGGCTTTATCTTAATGTCTTAATCACTGCCATGTTAAATTTGCCTACTCTTTGAAAGCTTTGTTGTTATTTATCGGTCTGGTGATCATGTCAGAGATTCAAAAGCCAATTCTCACCTTTCTAGAAAAGTCTGTTTGGTGTAAGACGTTTGTATGTCTCAAAGATGTTCCATACAGGACTGAATATATAAACTGATCTGGTCTATATGCTGCTGATGTGGGTCATCACAGCACTGTGACAGAATGATGTGCATGGTGCCTTCAAGCACAGCATTTATTTCTATAAGAGACGAGTGCACTAAAACTCTGCAAAGGAAGCTGCCATGTAACTGAGAGGGAAGAATTATTACGACACTACTTAACATAAATACCCCAGGCTTACATGCAGAGACATGCATGTGCACAACCAGTTGAGAAATTGGCCTGCTCAGTTCCTACCTGAGGCATCTGGCAGGGGCAGTGTTGGAACTTTTTATTCATTTATTACTTAAAAATAATCCCTGTGATATTTTTTTTCTGAGACTAAGGAGCACAAGTAACTATATTAAAGTTTGCCACTATTGTAGCTTAGGTAAAAAAGACTTGTAGATCTTCAGTCTGACAAAGACAACCTGTAGTAGATTGCAAAGCTGAACGCTGTATAAAGCTGTTGTCACAACACAATCTAGCCAGAGGTAATGATGTGTCAGTACCAACTTTGATTCACAAAGTTCCACAAAGTCAGTCCTGTTTTTGAAGACATTTGATTCATATCAGTTAGAACTGAAACCCTGAAGAATGGATTCCAAAGTAAATACTTATAATGGAGATTGTATTCACTTAGCATTTCTATGCTCTTAAAATATTCTAAAAGCACAGAAAATATTGTACGACTTTATGGTTAATGCAGTACACTTTAATCTGACAGACTGTCATTACTCTCCTTTTTTTTGATATGCTATTTCAGCACCTTACTTAGCCACTCTGCAGCTTGACAGCAGCTTGTTGCTACCACCTAAGTACCAAACCCCAGTGCCAGCAAGCCAGACACAAGCGGTACCTGGGAATGCTGGAGCTGTACCTTCAAATTCAACGTGTCTTTCAGCTACTGGGGCACCACCAACAGGCAATTCTTTCAGCTCCACACCCAGTGGTGGGACCACAAGCCTTCCCGTGGGAAGCAGTTCATCCTCGGGATCCTCTGTGCCGCAGCTGTCAGCATCTTCTGCAACGCCTGGCGTTAACCAGATGACCACTGCCTCCACTCCAGGGTTTAGTGGGAACACGAGTTCAGGGCAAAACACCAGCACTGGAGGAAACACAGCAGAGCGCTCGCAAGGAAGCACAGGTCCTGGGGGAGAGACAGAATCAGGTCAAAACTTACCACAGCAGCAACAAGAAGGGCAGGAAGGGTAAGTTACTTATGTGCTCAAATGACTCAAAATATTTCTAATTAAATCCACTGTTCTCGTGCTTTCATACAACTCATAACCTTTAAGCCGTATGTAAATCCTTGAAAGGAGAGGACCTGTTGAAAAAGGAGCAGAGCCCATTTTCATTTGTTGGTAGTAGTTACTGATAAACTGGAGTTGGAAAAAACAGACCTCTCCTTTTTCATTACAAGAAACAAAACATGAACACCGGTGCTATGGTTCTGTCTGAGATGCTGTAGGATGCTCCACTTGGCCTACATTTGCGGTACAAGAAAAACACAAGAAGTGTCATAGGTTCTGTGCCACGTCTGCTAGCTCGGTCTCATGTATGTGAGGTGCTGCAGGATATCTCGTGGCACTGAATGCCTCTTAGTGTGGGCAACTCCATCATGCCTGTAATGTGAACAGATACAAAATGCAATCCAGGGATATTTTCCTCGCTTTCTTGCATTGCAAGTATTGCTTTGCAAGCAGGTATACTCTCAAGTCAGGAAACAGGATTATATTGCTGTTACTTTAAAATACATTTTAGCAGCACAGCTTGTTTAAAGATTGTATCATAAACAGTAATCCATCAAACATAAAAATCAAGAAAAGGTTTTTTTAACATCTCATGTATAAGTAACTTCCTAAGTGAACATGTTTTTCATTACTCTCATAATAATGCATATTACTAGTAGTCATGATATATGTTGTGGAGTTCCTGTATCTTAAGTGAAAAGCCCACATCCTGTTGTAGTTCGGGTTATCCTTAAGACATCTGTTCACTGGATCTGTGCAAAATACCATTTTATCAAGTGCAGCATGGTGTCTGACAAAGTAAGTCTGAGCTGCTTTTTATCACTTACAGATGTTGAGCCTCCCATTCATGGTTGAGGCATGAAGGAGCATTTTCCCAAGTAAAAAATGGTCCATTGCTCCTTCCATTACCAATGGAACATTTTCTGTAACTGAACAGAGGACTTCAGTCTCCCTGAATATTACTTTGGCACTTGCCCTCAGTTCTCAGATCCACCTCTTCCAAGAGAAAACCCTGAACAGCACCAAAAACCAAGCATGCACATACATGAAAAGAAAACTCGCAGAGCTAATATTAGTCAGCTTTTCCATATTCTTCAGACATAATCTATTCTGATTGCATTAAATGAGATTATTCTAGACATTATGGTAAGTATCTGTAATGCATAATTAATAACAGGTATTTTGGATTAAGAACTGCTGTGAGTAAAAGTCATCTCTCCTCAATCACTGTTGTCATGTTTTTTAGTTTTGTATCTGAACATAAGAATCACTTTGTATTCCTCTTTTTCCTCCTCTGCTTCAGCCTTGCACACCTTTACAGGAAAACAATTAACAATGTAACTTGCCATTGAGTTTAACATCGTGTATGTTTCCAGTGTTACAGAGAGGGAGAGAATAGGGATTCCCACTGAACCGGAGTCTGCGGACAGCAACGCCTATCCGCCAGCAGTTGTCATCTACATGGTGGATCCTTTTACCTACACTGCAGATGAAGAATCTGCTTCAACCAACTTTTGGCTCTTAAGTTTGATGAGATGCTACACAGAAATGCTGGATAACCTGCCTGAGAATATGAGGAATTCTTTCATTCTCCAGGTAATTCTACCTTCCTCTGTATCTTCACACTGGAGACCCATTCTGTCACAGCATGCTTTTGTCATGTGCGCTGTACTAAAAGATACAAAATGGAAGATAATATATAAAATGTAGGTGACGTTTACAAATTATTTTTGTCAGTACAAGGTTATATATAAAAAAAAAAACAACTCGCTTTTTTTAATGAGAAAATTTAAGGCAGCCACAGTATCCTTGCTTCAAATCTGCTGCATGGTTCTAGCAATCAGGTATGCTAGATGCTTCCTAAAGAGGGATTTTAGTTATTTAAGTTGCAACTTGGGTTGCTGTTGCCAAAAATGTCCAGTTGCTCCTTCGATTACTTTGCACATTCAGTTGTTTGCATTTTATATTCTCTTGCTTTATACTGTTTAATCCAAAAGAAGTATGTGAAACCAGACATTTAATGCACAATTTAACTATTGTTATTATCTACTTCTTTAAAATAATTTACCATGTAACTTGGCATATCATAATAGTTACTTACTATGGAATTACTTAGGAATTGAATTTGTGTAGTGAGAAGCAGAGCTTGGCCTATTGCCCAGACTGCCCGCATTTTGCCATGCCTCCTCTTTCACAGCAGCTCAGTCTGAACAGATCGGGGGGAGAACGGGAGGCCAGAGATTGCAGGCTATGCATGTATGTGTGCAACATAGGCATGAGGCAGCATGTGACTTATTTCTTTATACCCTATTCAAATATGCTCAACTTGTCTTAAAATTATTTTAATTTAGATGATGAAAAAAAAGCATTGGAAGTTGTTATAGTGTCTCAAATTTGGCATGGAAAACAGTTGTCATTTTTTTGTAATCTTGGCCTCACCATTCCCTGAAATGATGGGGTAAACTGTCATCAGAATGTTTTAGGCTTGGGGATGAACTGAAAATCAAATTCACAACTTCATATTGCATAGACTGCAAGCAATTTAACTGTTCAGACCTGAAGATACTAAAGATATCAATGTCTGAAATACAAGAACATGTAAACTCTATACTGAACTTGAATCTTAGTTTGTATAGGACAACTGATGGGCTTACAAACTCTTTGTAAGTACTGTTTATTTTCTGGGCACTTACTCTCTGTTTCTCAAAATATGTGGCATTTTGCCAGTTTAAATCAAAATAGTAGACAATTTTCTCCAAGTAAAGGGTAACAGGATATAGTTCACAGTATTCTCACAGCTGTACCATAATATACACAAATATAGAGTTATTTCAAAATAAATCAAACCCAAATGTTTACAGATTTATTACAATTCATACACAGACTAGAAAAGCTCAGCTTCTGAAATTCTTGGATAAAGAATTTGTCTTTTAAAAAGACGTAGTTGCGTTTAGTAAGTAGGATATACTACAAAAGTACAAGTGGCTCAAGGAAGAACCATAGAGTAGTTTTATGATACTTTAAAGTTTTATGATACATAAGTTTTACTGCTACTGAAAATATTTGTTCAAAGAATCTGCTTGGGTCTCATAGTGTTAGATGCAACATTAATATTTTGTATTCACAGTTTCTGCTCCAAAAATCTTGCTGTTCAAAAGAAGTTTCCACAGCCACGTGTAGGACATTGTATTTCTCAAACGTACATTTAAAAACTGAGCTTATAGCAATTTAATTCTGATTTTATAAGGATTTGAATGGAAAACATTATTTTTGTTATGCTTTGTTTACCTCTGAAGGTATATTATGCCATTTCTCCTTCCTGTTCTTGTGCATGTGGGTCTTGGCCAGCAAACTCAAACCTCGTAGGCAAATCTTGCTGTAGTTCTGTTCCTTGCTGGTTGAACATGGAAATTTAAGGGTCTTGCTTCACATTACTTTCTGAAACAAATAAAACTGAACAGCAGCGTAAGATTACTGAGCTTCCACTGTTTACTAAATTGAAAGGGAGTAACAACCACATAAATCATTATAAGAGAATCTTAACTCTGCTCTCTGCAGTGGTCTATAAGAATGACACTGTAGTGCTGATTCCCTCCTGACCAGCAAACGCCAATTCTGACCAGCAAAAACCAAACCTGCCTAAACACAAAGCTCAGAACACTGAGATTATAAAGCAATGGCTACCTGCAAGTAAGGATGCTGATCAGAAAGAGTTTTAAAAAAATTAAAGGTACTTGAATATGGGTGTTTGGTTTTGGACTGAGAATCACATAAATTAAAATTAAAACTACCCCCAAGTTTTACGGTATTGCTTTTCAAAGGCACCACTACTACTACTTGTGGTATGCTTTGACAAATGTTAAACATGACTGTTACACTTGACTGAGGAAAATAATCTGGTTTTTTGTACAGTTGATTGGGTTTCTCCTTCAATGATGTTTATAGTACAGAAAGAAAAATTAATTTAGTTTCTGGTAAGCGGTGTTTTTCAGCAACCATGGTTGTGTTATGTACTGTTCAGTTAGTGCTGCCCTGTAAGAAGACTCTTCCATTATATTGGACATAAGTCTTTGCTTTCTGAGAGATTTTGCAACCTTAAATATGCCGTCTTATGGAATGGACACAGCAGTTTTGTATCAGGGGATACTGTGGCTGAATGTTGCAGCCATTCACGCAGAAGGGCAGCAGCCCTTCCTCTGATGAGAAGCTGCAAATAATGGCATAGCCCAGACCAGAATGTCATGCTAGTTAACTGACTAACGACTGTGAGAATCTGGTTTGGTATTAATGAACAGCTCTTTGAAGACTTTCAATCATGTTTTATTGTTTCTGTGAATTACACAGATTGTGCCTTGCCAGTACATGCTGCAGACAATGAAGGATGAACAGGTTTTCTACATTCAGCACTTGAAGTCTCTGGCATTCTCTGTGTACTGCCAATGCAGGAGACCACTGCCCACCCAGATTCACATCAAGTCCCTCACAGGCTTTGGGCCAGCTGCCAGCATTGAGATGACCCTCAAAAATCCTGAGGTTAGTATTGGTGTCCAGAAAATGAAAGCCTGTTAAAGTGTACCCATTTTTCTCAAATAGAAAAAGAAGAGTATAGAAAATGCTTTTAGGGGTATTTTTCCAAGGTATAGAAGACAATGACAATATAAAGGGAAAAGGTAAACTAGTACTAAATAGAAAACAGTAAGAAAAATGTCAGACTACTTGCTTTCAGAACATTTTAAGCTTCTGGGTTTGAGACATAAAGTAAAAGGTTAAAGTTCAGTGTGAAAGAAGAGAAAATGTGTGCTGTTACTTGGGATTCTGAGACATTCGGTAGTTTTAGTCCATGGTATTCCTACAAGTATTTATGTCCAACTTTTATTTATATACATATATATGCATATATATGAAATAAGTTCCTGTGCCTAATTACAGATGTTATATTAATTTCCTGAGGCAATGGAGAAATCCCCATATTTCACTGGGATTGTCTTTCATCTGTTTGTTTGGGTTTATTTAAACTGTAAATATTCCAGCCCTGTTTGTGGAATTTCGGGGATTTCAAAGGAAGAATAATCCATCTTACTTTCCATGAATGTTTTTCATTCTTCGAAAGATAATGATGAGGGTTTTATTTAGCTTTAATGGACCAACTAAACACTTACCTTGGGATAAAGACATGCTTGTTAGGCTTTAAAAACCTAGTTTCAGAATTATCATAAAACCAACCTATCAGCACATTTCATTACTCACGTAAAACCATAAGCTCTCACTGAAAATTTCTAAAAGCAGTATCACCCCAGGCGTCTCCTCTTCACATTCTCTCTTCATGCTTTCCTCAAAAAGGTATCTCGTCAGCAGGATGGATTTTGCAGCAAGTTACAACAGTCATACTTCAAGCTATTTAGGCGTAAGAGGAAGAGCAATAAACTTGCAAGACCTCTGCAAGCATCTCTCCCCTTTAATTACTGTTCCTGCACTGGTGCCAGAGTGGTTTACTTCTAGAAAGTGACAAAAGCGGAAATAAAATACCCCTTACTGCCTCTAAGAAGACACCATAACTTATTTTTTCTCTAAGCTACATAACCACCCTTTTCCCAGTATCTCTCGACTGTGAATGTTTTGAATGTATTTATTGTTTCACACTTGCAATTTTCTGTACTTATCTGCTGCTGATTGTATTGACTTCATTGCAGAGGCCCAGCCCAATCCAGCTGTATTCGCCTCCTTTTATATTGGCACCCATCAAAGACAAACAGACAGAGCTGGGAGAAACATTTGGAGAGGCCAGTCAGAAATACAACGTGCTTTTCGTTGGGTATTGTTTGTCTCACGATCAGCGTTGGCTTCTGGCATCCTGCACTGACCTTCATGGTGAATTGTTGGAAACCTGCATAGTTAATATTGATTTACCAAACAGGTAGACACCTTTACTTTTTACATTATATCTAGGTCTATAGCTGTCGTCCCTCACTATCATTAATTTCTTGCATATTCCTTCTAATCCAATTCTCTGCTGATGGCATTATGATTATGTTATAGTAAGAACATTTCAGTTGTCACTTTTATAACTTATAAACTTCAGAGAAAAAAAGTTACTGGGTTACACTTAGTTTTACAAATGCTACCTATGAATCTTACCTTCAAGAAAAACTGGTATGGTGCTCAGCATAGTGACACCTCTCACATGTCACTGCAGTAATAGTACTGAAAGCAGATACATACTTTTTCTGCTGCTTGTTAGTAGAAGGTAAGTTGGGCACTCCACAGCACTGTGAGAACTCCTATAGAGAGTAAGCAGTGAAATAATTACATAAAATAGAAATCTGAATATTGTCCTTGATTCTCTTTTTAATTTTGTTTTCTTTTCCTTCTCTAACCTCCAGGTCAAGAAGGAGCAAGTTGTCTGCACGTAAAATTGGTCTGCAGAAGCTGTGGGAATGGTGCATTGGTATCGTACAGATGACATCACTGCCTTGGAGAGTTGTAATTGGGCGGCTCGGCCGCCTCGGCCATGGGGAGTTAAAAGGTACGAAATGTCAATGCTGTCCCTGCCTGGGGTTTTGCAATGAGGACGTGGCCTTAGTGTACAAGACTTACGGAACTGATCACAGACCTTTAAAACCAGAAGACTGAGTGATAATCCTAGCCTGACATTGAATTTTTGTATTTGGTTTCCATAAACTGTTTCTTTGTTTGTGCACTGGGTGTGATGTTACTCCTCGTGTTCTGTAGCTGTTGTGCAGATTAAATAGTGAATGTGCAAGTGGAAGTCAGGGGTTTCATAATGTTAGAAAAAGATCTGAACAATAGTTACCCTGTCACAGAAATTGAAACAAGACTCAATTCTGATTCCTAAATTTAAACATAAACTAAACAAAAAAAAATTATTGCCAAAAAAATTACTGAACAATTTTTTTTCCCCTGTGGTATACAAAACTAACGATAATGAATGGTAACCAGCAAAAAGGTGCTCTCTGCAGCCTGCAAAGAGTTTGCAAGATTGAGCATTCCTAGCAGCTCTCTGAGACCTTAGTGGGAGCTCTGGAGTGTTGTAGGTGTCTTTATCCAGCACGGGCAGGGGCTGCCTTGCTTCAGCAGTGAACACACGCATTCAGCATCTTTTCTGCCATTTTAATGGCTGTGGCCACTATTCAGGTTTTCTTTGGTGACTGATTGGAAGAAATTGGGATTCAGAGAGGGTGCTCTCATCTTCTCCCATCTCCTGAGTTGGAACATGAAAATAAATGAGACAGGAGGATAAAGATGTTTCATGAGTGTTTGTCCTTTTACATTAATAACTGAAGGAGACGTGAATTCCTCTGATTAGCTTATTGTAAGAGATTTTGTATTTCGTGAGATGGGAAAATTGAAAACCAGTGCACAATAAATAACAATTCAGTCTGAAAGCACAAAGAAATACTCTAGGGGGGTAAAAGCAGTAATTAAACGCCTTCTCCCATATCATACATGAAGGGAAGAAGAGGTGTTGCCTGCCCCAGTAGGAGAATTTGGTATCCATCACACACGCAGGAGTTAAACAGAACTAAGGCAGGAAAACAGATTGAGAAATTAATTGGCAACTTCCTTCCTCTTTTTGGACACAAAATGTCATTTAAAGGGCTAAATGTAGTTTCTTGAATGAGTGCACCTCCACTGAAATTTTCTTTATTTGGTGTATTTTATTCATAACAAAGTTTAACAGAATTTCTTTGATGTTGAGTGTGTGAATTTGTATCTCATTGCTTGTGTTTCAAGTATTAAGATAGAGCCATCCACTTGTTTACATGGGGAGGCAGTTCAGAATAGTACAGTGTAACAGAAATGCAAAGTGTAATTAATATTTTTTGATTTTCAAGCAAGTGTTGGCTATCTCAGGACCCCATTATGTTCTATCATAACGTTATTCATTTCAGACTGGAGTATCCTCCTTGGGGAATGTTCCCTGCAGACAATCAGCAAACAACTAAAGGAGGTGTGCCGCATGTGTGGCATCTCAGCAGCAGACTCCCCTTCTATCCTCAGTGCCTGCTTAGTTGCCATGGAGCCACAGGGGTCATTTGTTGTGATGCCAGGTAAATTTTATCCAACTGTATGAATGCCAGTGAACCTTTTCCTCTTTTATCACATTTATCGCATATGCACATTAATTTCAGGAGACTTTTGAGTCCAACTAGAAGACCGTGACAAGCATGGCTAAATGTGGTAGAAAATAGGTTGAGCCAGCAGATTTCCAAAAATACCGTGAAGAGATGCTGCGCTGGGAGCGTAGGCTCTTAGAAGAAAGCTCACTGTGTGCCACTGTCAAACTGGGGTCCTTCCCTGGGGAGGTCCTGGTTTCAGGTGGTCCTCATCAGCTGAAATGAGATGTTGTAGATACCCCCATGCATGGAGGACTGCAGGCACCGTGTGAAAGATTAGCAGTCTGTGTAATGAGAGTAAGGATAAACCCACTTGCCTTTTCATGTGCTTACATTATTTAGAGTTCCACTGTAAGCAGCAGTCCTCAGAGTTACCTTGAAAGAAAACTAGATTTTGAGATTGCCTTTATTTGTGTTTGTGTTACTTAAGCACGTACTTTTTAATGTACATGATGACATATCCTTACAAACTGCTCTGGTTTTCTAATTTAGAAATAAAAGATTACTACATGGAACAGAATTAATTACTCCAGTTGAATAATTTTCAAAGCAGATTTTTTGTAACATGAGAAAATAGATGGCGAGTTATGTTTTTTCACGTCAGAGTGGGTTATATTGCATAATTATACAGATGTGTGTATCAAAAATAAATTTAACTTGCTTGTTTAACAAGTAAGCCTTTGATTAAGGGGCAGCAGAATGAAAGGATAAGTGGGGCATTGTATGTGAATTCCCATAGCTAAACATTATCTACAACTTGTGATCTTAATTTCAAGCTCTTCTACTAATTTATTCTTTTTAAGATAAGAACCTCTCAACACTTGTATTAGCTTGCAAACCCAGATTAGAAATTAATTGAACATGGAACTTATATTTTGAAGATGATGCAAATTAATGTCTCTGCTGTTGCTTGTACTCTGTAAGATGCTGTCACGATGGGATCAGTGTTTGGCCGGAGTACTGCGCTGAATCTGCAGTCGTCTCAGCTGAACACCCCTCAGGATGCCTCCTGCACACACATCCTGGTTTTCCCAACCTCTGCTACTATCCAGGTAGCACCAGCAAATTACCCCAATGAGGATGGATTCAGCCCTACTAACGGTGAGTAAACACGTGTCTACTGAAACATGGTGCTTGGGAACGCTCAGCAGCTGTTCAGAGCATCGGCAGAGCTGTACCAGTCACAGAATCACAGAATCACAGA